ATCTTTGCATAACCTTTAAAGGGCAAAACAGTTGCCCATTCACATGCATTCAATTATACAGTGACTAGTTCATAACAGCAAAAAATAAAAGACCCATAAAAATATAAAAAATATTTAGAAAAACAAACTTTGCATTCATCAAATACTACTTTGAACTCTTCAGGCTTCATGTAGAGAGTTCGCTTTACATAACACAAAGAGATTAAAGAGCAAAGGAGACTTGCTTGGTTTGGTTGTCTCCATTTTATCAAAGTACTAAATTCAGCCTATCACTGTAATTGCTAGAATGCAACATTACATTACTGAATCTCACTGTAAGGAGTTTCTAAAATCAACTGTATATAAAAGAAGCAATATAAATATATTAATTGAATGACTACGTTTGTGCTATTGCTAGGAGAAAGGGAAATGTACCTTTGCTAACAGGCCATAGAGGGGAAATCATAAAACAATTACAGCCACTATGGAATAATTTAGGAGACAGAAAGAAGTGATTAAAAGGGCTTTATCTAATATAAGCAAATCATCTCTGATTCCTTAATTATATCCCATACCCTACATGGACCACTGTGACCAAAACAGAACATTTTAGTTATAACTTATATATTCAATTTTCATCTCATTTCCATGCAAATTAGAGGTCTTATAGTTTCCAATGATAATACCAATCAATTGCCTAAGCAGGTCAGATATACACCAATTCCAGTGACTAGTTGCTTATCATTACAGCACAGGATGAAAGCCAACATATACATGTGATGTACACATTGGAAGTAGGTGGGTTTTGGAAATCTTAATAGAAACTGAGAGTATAATATTAATATGTTTCCAAAAACTCTGTAGATACCATTTGCAAGCTGCAATAGTATGCTCCAGTATAACTCATAGGTTGTGTTATAACTTTGGAGCAGTATATTTAATAATGAGAGCATACAGATATATTCAGTGTTTAAAATATGTTGGAATTCCCAGTTGCAGTGTTAATAAACACATCCCAAAATATCCCTAAATAGGGGGCAAATTTGGTTTTTGCTTTTTTGCATTTTAACTCTAGCAAATAAAATTATCTCCAAAAGAAAATTGAAGAACAAATATACTGCATATAAAAATGGCTCTAAGAGTAAAATTTAATTATGAATGACCTTGTTAAATGATGAAAACAGTTGTGCTGCAGGTCAAATCATATGAAATAGTGAAAAACTACATACTTAGAAATGTAGAATTTTAATTAACTTTTATTTTTGGTAAAGTGTTTTTCCCTCATTAATACAGTCAACATTGTATGTGGGTTCCATTAAAAACATTTTTGTGTGTGCATACATAGGTATAAAAAGATTATATAGGTAGATCTTACAGAGAAATGTGTTTAAATATTACTTTCCTTACACTGTAATAACTTACCATTCCTCCTAAAATTTCTATAAGAAGCAAAAGACAAATATTAGTTTTACTTAGATGATAAGGACTCTGAATCACTGTGCTGAATGAAAAGAATCAGACCTTCTGAAAATTACCCAAAAGCCAATAGTCAATGACAACTAAAAAAGATAAACTAACTTCTAGGTCTCTGTTTGCTAAGTCTGTATATTACACATCTCAGATTGTACTTCAAACCTCAAATAAAACTGTTCTCTAAAAGGACTCATGGTAACTCAATATAAAATTGTTCCTTCTCTTTCAATGGAATAATTAAGTAGTTCAATATGTTTTATGTAGTTCAAACTAAAGTTAACCAAATAATTTCAAACAAAATGGCAAATTCATCATATTACATGATATTACAAAATGAATGATTCAAAAGTAAGATATATCAGGTGAAATACTGTACAAGCATGTGGGCCAAATATGATATTAAGTCAGTTGGCTTGGCCTTCATATCTTGCAGCAGTCTGTATTAATGCATTTCTTCTTTTTGTTTTGATGGGACCTTACTAATAACAGAGTGATAAATTACATTTGTAAATGTCAGGCATAGATCAAAGGGGACAATGTTGGATGCTTATTTTACTTCAACTTGTGATTTTTCACCAAGAAAACATTGTGCATTGCTCAGTAAAGTTCCTTATTTTTACTTGAATTTTCAATGAAAACAGCTGCAGAATAATATGACTTAATGAGGCATCCCTAATAAAATATTGCAGAATTAAAAGCAGGAGCACTGAACTGTTTGCACTCTGGTTGTTTCATCTTTTAAAATATATTTGAAATAACTGATGACACTTTGGAACATTCCTTGTTGGGACATACATTAGAGAACTCATCAGTAAATGTTCATCAGTTTGCGATTACAGCTGAACTTGGTACAGTCTGACAGTACTTTTTTTTAGGAGGCCTTGATAAGAAATGTCTGGGAAGTGGTGGAGAGATTACCTGAATAGAGTAACCCATAATACGCAATTAGTGATATATCCACTTTAAGATGTACTTTGTATATTTCAATATAAAAATACATTTTAAGATGGTCATAAAACACTATATGGAAGATATTTGATCCAGGACTAGCAAAATTTTCTGATAAGACAAAAAAATAATTTCTCCGAAATTTTCCATCACCCCCTAATTTCATCATTTTATAAATTTTTAAAAAGGAAAAGTGGCCATGTCTAAAAGCAGATCTTCTTTTTTACAGCCATGTCATCACATTTTTTAATCTGGTGGTTAGTAAATACTATAATGCAGTCTCTAAACAATATATATATCCATTTTGATACACATCCAGAGACATCTCAAACCATCTTCATTCTCCCATTTGTCATTATTAAAGTAGGTAATGTTTTTCCGATTCAAAAAATCACACATACTCAGAAACCTTGGATTCCTCCCCAGCATAACTTGTAGCATTATGTAGGTGTCTGCTTTAATGTCAAGGTTTTCTGGTTCTTCTTTAAGAGTCATATAGCACTAGCTGTGGTCTAGCATTCTAAACTACTATATATTTTTAAAAGCAAGAGAAGTATCAAGATTTTAATCTTTAAAAATACGTAATTTGAATAAAGCACCCACTAAAACTGTGTTTGCCTCTTAAAAGACTCCCTATGCTGAAGTATTCATTTGTCAGTGACATTGTTCTGAAAGTCTTATATCTAAAAATAATACAACCCAGTTGTTTCATTGAAAATTAGGAAAATGAAAGTAAAATAAGCTTCCATGTGGTTACTGATGGCCTTTAAACAATTATTGATGCCTTTAAAAATTAGAATTCTTAAAAGGTCAGGATCTAAACTATTGACTCACAATGTGATCCAGAACAGAATAAAGTAGAGAAAGAGACAATTAAAAGTGCCAGCCCTTTTATTTAAAATATATGATGTTAGAGGCCAATTTTGAAATTTTAAATGATTCACCAGTCTGAGAGTACATGTGCAAACATGGAAATGTTGGAGTAAATACAAATAGCTCTAAGGCTTCATTTTTAAAAGCTTTAAAAAGTATTTTTAATCTTGTTATTAGTTATTTCAGTTTATCACTTTACATGGAAATCTTAATTACTCGTTTGTCTTAACTTAATATTGCTTGAGAGCAGTTTGACAGTATTAATTGAAAACAGTATGAATGTTGATGTCTAAAACAATCTAGTTGGGAAGACAGGAAGCAGATAATTACCATCTAGTCAATAGTCATTGAAATTCATCCTGTCCTGAGTGAAGGACCCTCATACACTGACTGCTTTAGGGGTACTTTTCAGACTAATAGAGCCTGAGGATTTGGGATTTGGGGTGGGCTTTTTTTGCCCACGCAATATTTTGTAAAAATATTGAAGGGATTCAAACTCACAAAAACGAAGATATTTTCTTTTCTGTCTTATTGCCACAAGCCAAAAGCACCCAGCAAGAGGTGAGGAAAGCTAGTCACTGTAGTAAGTACACATTAGATTCCAAACGCCTGGGGCAATTGTTTAACACTGGGTCATGAAGTGCAATACTGAAGCTTCGCCTCTACCCAAGGGTTCTTCAAGAGCCTAAGGTTCGTCTTTTTCAAGCGGAGACTGGATAGCACAACCTGCAGTCCTAGGAGATACAGGGCGCCAGATCTCAAACTTTCCCCTGCAAATGCAGTTTCTGGGAATACCGAGTTCCCCACAGATAAGTGAAGATCAGTAGCGTAAAGAAAACACCTCTTGGTTGACACCTAGCCTTTTAGAATAAAGCGGGGGCGGGGTGGGGGAGGGACAGCAAAGCAGTTGAGCAGAAAACCCGTGTAATATTAGCAAGATTTGGGAGACCTCTATCCGGAAAGATAGAGAAAAATCATTAGTTTCCCCAAAGCTGTTCTTTTTCTGAACGCTGTTCATAAAAGAATCCTTGATCGAAGCTCTCTTGTAGTAGTAGCCTATACAAAAGCTTTAATTCATTCACTCATAAAGTGATCCCAAATCTAAATAAAGCTTTAAATAGACGAGGCTCAGGAACTTATCAACACGATTCTTTATGAAAATAGTTAGAGATGGAGAAATCAATAGCCCCACTGAAACGCCCACGCTCTGCAGACAGGCCTGAGAATTAACTAATCAGAAGTGGACAGAAAGTAGGGATTTCAGAAAGGCGACCTGACACATTCCATTGATCATTGATCCTCCCTTGAACGCGACCCCCAACTCCTTACTAGGAGTCCAAAATGATTACGGAGCAGGATTGGTCTTGGGGAGAGATCGCATTAAACCCCACTTCGGTCCTCGACCGATAGACTCGCGGTGTAACGAGAAATGGGGCAAAGAAGAGAGGGAGGGCACTGCCCGCCGGGCCTCCTTCCGCACGCTCCCATCCCCTCTCCACGTCCCTCTACTCCGCCCCTACCCTGACAGCTTGCGGGGGAGACGCCGGCTGCCGGATCAACATCTGCCCCCATCTCTTGCCTCCCTGGGCGAACCCCGTAAATCCCCTGGCCCCCGAGACAGGGGAGGGGAGACGTGTACCCACGGGGGGCTTCCGAGCCCGCGGTCCTGTAGTTGCAGCTCGAGTCCCCAGAGCCCGCCGGCGACCGGAGGCGCGGCTCCCACCTACCTGCAGCCCGGCTTCCCGGTGGCGGCAACACCTAGCGATGTTCCTGCAGTTTCCGCGGGCCGGCGCCAGCCTTATCGCTCTCGCATCGCTTCCGAGATGCCAATCCGCTGTCACCATCCAGGGGCATAGGGAACCGAAGTCTGTTGGTGTGTGCTCGTGGAGGGCGTGTGAGTGTGGCCCTAAGCGTGTGTGTGTGTGTGTGTGTGTGTGTGTGTGTCCGCGCGCGCGCGCGTGTGAGTGTGTTTCCTCCTCCGATGGCAAAGAGGGTTCAGGAATCTTCACATCCAAACTAGAATCCCCTTAAAGCAAGTGGAAGGTGGAGTACAGGAGCCTGGTCTTTCTGTCCCTCCTCTTTATTCCACAGTGTCAAAGTAATCAAAAGATTTGTTTACTGAGGAAAAAGCCAAAGTCCCGCAGCCCTTGGCAGCGCCCGCGGTCGCCCGCTGTCCTCGCCGGACGCGCGCTGTGCGCTCAGCTTCCCCGACTGCGAGAATCAAGGAGGGCTTGCAGCAATTACCGCTCTTATTCCATCTCTGATGCGTTGCCTTTTAACCCCGAGTAAAGACTTCTCCTCTCGCCTCACGTCGTCTCTTCCTTTCACACACACACACGCGCACACATCCTCCGTTCCCTCTCTCTCTCCCGCCCTCCCTCTTGCTCTCTGGGGAAAGGCAATTGGACGGAATGATTCACCTTCAGAAAAGCAGCCTCCGCCTCGTACTTCCCCGGCTTTTGCAGGTCGCGGTCTCCAAGGTAGAGGAGTTGCTGGGGAGGCTCAGGGCAGGAAAAGGAGAGGCTCTGAGCTTAGCCAATGCCCCCCACCCCGCAAGACGCCCGTGTTCCTCGGTTTCGGTGCCCCTGTTCCCGCAGTTCGTAGATAGGTCCCGCTGGTGCCCTCTTGGAGACTTTGAGCCGTCAACTCGAGTCCACTTAGCAGCAACTCCTGGCCAGCTGCAGCCTCTCAATCCCGCCTCGAAGTGTTGCGGGCAGAGCCCCCACGCAGCCCACCCGCTGCCCCTCTAGGCATCGTGTGATGGAAGGAAGGGAAACCCTCCGCTGTCCCACGGTCACCACCAGTGCGCTGGCACTGTCACCACCGAGAAGGTGCGAGTTCCAACATGGAACACGAGAGAGAGAGAGCAGATGTGGGTTGTATCACCTCGCTAAAAGAGGGAGGGGAGGAAGAAACAGGGGAGGGGGTCGAGGAAGCAAATCCAGATCACTCGAGAAAATAAGCCAAAAACAATCAAAGCCTCCTATCCGCGTCCCGCCCCAGCCTCTGTAGTGTCAAAATACACTAGTGGTAATCTTCAGAAAGTCACCATAAAGGGCAGAGCCCCGGTTTCACCCTAAACCCCTATTCTATCCAGTCTGGCTGTCCAGGGATACAGAGCGACTGTCCCCGCTGTATAGTGCAGAGAATGCAGGGAGAGAATAGGTCCCGACACTCCTGCTTGAGTTAAAGCGGTAAAATGGGATGGCAGGACTAGGCAGCGTAGCCTCTTTTTCTCTCCAAACAGCCAGTTCTGTTAGTGGCAGCAGCTGCTGAGAGCAAACCGCGGTCCTGCAGAAAGAGACAGTAAAAGAAGCAATCAGTATAAATGCTGGACTATGTCTCCCTCTAGAGGGAGAGTTAGAAAGCTTTACTGTATGTAGCTAGGACTCCCAATTCTCCACAAAAAAGAAAATATATCTGGTTTTGAGAAGCTTGAATTTTTTTTTTTTTTTACAAATTGCAGCCTCTAATGGAGTTAGGAGGAGGATTTACACTACATCCCTATGTAATCAGATTTCTTTAAAAAGGAACTTCGTGGTATTTACCAATTTTTTTTTTTTTTTTGGCAACACCCTACTCTGAAAGGTCATGTCTTTACTGGTTTGGTCAAATTGGGTGGGTGTTGGTTTAAAGAGTAGTATATGAACTCAAATGACGGGTTTTACGGGATCACTTTGGTCATGTTTGGCAATAAGCAAAACCTTAACTTATGATTACAATATTCTTCAAAACAAATAAATAAGAATAGATTTAGGAAAGGAAAAGTCAAAGAGAATTGCTGAATCGGGAAGTAGTATAAGATCATTACAATTACAACTCAGAGTAACTCAAAGATCTTGCTTTGGGGCCAATATTTATATCTCTTTTTTCAACTATAATTGTCAAGATAGTAAATTCCTTTCAGCTCTAAGATTTTGATTTTATAGCTCCAAATCACTGAAACCATTCATAAACTAGGTATTACATATTCTCTCGACTAACTATAAAACAAAAGTAACATAAATACCATATTTACAAAGAAAATGAGAAATATATGTTTCCTTAGTAATTGTATTATAACATGCTTAATAATTCAATATTTTCTATTAAATTATGTCAAATAATTATGTTAGATTGGAGTCTTCATTTTAATAAAAGCTAGATCTATAAATTGTAAAAGATTTTGTTACTTCATCTGAGTTCAAGTTAGGTCTGGTCTGTGCCTTTAATATTTAGATTTTGTGAACTTACTATTTCAATTGAGGGTTTCCTTTCAAACTGTTCCTCTGTGTTTAAAATTATAAAATATATATTACAGTTATGATTAAACACATTTATGTTCACTCTGAGTTTTGGGAACCATTCTTTTTTAACCTGATAATCAAACTTAGTACAGACTTACAGAAAAAAAAATTATTAAAAAAAAAAAAAACTAAGACTAACTGAAGCCATTTAAAACAAGGGGCCAGGGGCTGGGGATGTGGTTCAAGTGGTAGCACGCTCACCTGGCATGCGTGAGGCACTGGGCTCGATCCTTAGCACCACATAAAACTCAATAAGTGAAATAAAGGTATTGTGCTCAACTACAACTAAAAAAGAAATATTTTTAAAAAATAAAAATAAAACAAGGGGCCAAAAGTAGAGTTTATTATTTTAATGAATTGCACTGTTGTAAATTTGAGTTGGTCTAGTACATGGCAATCATTTGTTTCCAAGGCACTCTCAAACAGTTTCTTTCAAAAGAGTCATGTCATGTAATTAAAGATTTTTATTTCATTTCACTTACATAGCAACTTATTTCCCCTGGGAATAAAATTTACATTTTAAAACACCTGGTATGGTTTCACTGCAAATCTTAAAGTAAATTGATCTGCTGTGTTAAATAGTGGTATGGCATCCGAGAAGGAAAGCATTGGGAACCTAGACTCTGTAATGGGAGGAAAAGCCATTTACTAAATCACTATAGATTATCAGCCTTCCCTTCCCACAAGAAATAAAAAGTACACATTAATATCCTTCTAGTTTCTAATCTATTAGGTTCTTTGTGATTATAGAAAAACATAATTTTATGATTTGTTAAAATTTTATTTCTAATGTTAAAATGTGGGACATTTTATCTTTATTCTAATTAAATCCACAATGTTTTTACAAAATTTGAAAAAGTCAGTAAAGAGAATAAATGAATTAGTAAAAATATAATTTCTTACCAAATCATATGATGCTAAAATTCTTTAATATTTGTGTGCTTCCTGTAAATCTTCAAATAATTCCCAATAATTTTTAGATCAAAGTGCTATTTCCAGTCCCTCCTAAACTTTGAAACAAATTTTTTGCATTCCTTCCAAAAGAAACAAAATGGCAAATACGGCTCTAGTTTAACAGAAATCTTGAGTTGATATTTCTTAACATCTATTTATTTAAACTGCCTGCTTTCTCCAGTCTAAGCAGTAAAAGTGATTTCTTTAAAAGCTGAATTTAACTGGACTGTAACTCTATTGTAGCCCTCCATTTTCTAAGAATTTACTAAAATATCTCTGTGGCATACTTCAAGCTTACTTTTTTCTGCCTTTAAAAAATCTTCTTTATGGAAGTATAATTGACATGCAATCAACAGCATATATTTAAGTGTTCAATTTGATTAGTATTGAATACAAACATATCCATGAAACCATCACCAAACATTTCCATTCTCCCAAGTTTCCTCATGTTCTTGTAATCTATATCTTCTTCCACCGAAGTCTAGCATCCACTAATCTAGTTTCTGTCACTACAGATTAGTTGGCTTTTGAATCATATATTATGTGCCTTTTCCATAAGTTTCTTTCCATCAGCATAATTATATTGAGATTCATCCATTCTGTTGTATGTAGCGATGGATTGTTCCTTTTCATTTCTGAATGTTATTCCATATTGCAGATATACCACAATTTGTTTAGCTATTCACCTCCTGAGGGCTTATTTAGCTATTCACCTCCTCACTGGCTTATTTCTGGGTTTGGAACATTACAAATAAATGCTATGTACATTTGTAAAGAAGTCTTCAGGTGAACCTATGTTCTCATTGCTCTTAAATATAGATCCAGAATTGGAATGTCTGGATAGCATGGTAAAGTATTCTCAACTTTAAAACAAAGTGTTTCCCAAAATGTCTGTGCCCTTTTACATTTCCAGAAACTGTTGTAGAGATCTGTGGGGGCACATCAAGCTTCCTAATAGAAGCTTTATAAGTTACCTCAAATCCTTATCTCAAATCCTCACAGCAACCCTTAAAGAAAATGGTATAACCTCATTTTACACATTAAAAAATTTATGGGATCCTAATTAGAATAAGACATATTCTATACTTGTATAAATATATCAAAATATAAGTTCTACTGTCATGAAAAATAACCAATAATTTTTTTTAAATTGAGACTTAATTCCATGTCATTAAGAAATAGAGTTGGTATTAAAACCCAATCTACTGAGTCCAAATCAATTTGGGGTTCTGATTTGGTTTTGGTTTCAGTCTTGATTTTTCTTTTTCCCTTGCCTCTTTCCTCACTGGCTATAATGCCAACCACTAAAACATGCTACTTCTTGAATTAAAATGGAGATTGGCGATTAAAATTATTTGGAATTGCATTCAGAAAAGCATTTAACAGGGCTGGAGATGTAGCATGACAGAGCATTTGCCTGGCATGAGAGAGGCCCTGGGTTTAATCCCCAGTGCACCACGGGGCAGGAAGGAAGGAAAAACACCAGGAAAAAAATATATATCTTTTAGTGAAAAATTAGTAAAAATAAAAGTTATAAATGGGAAAGACAGTGAGAAAAGAAAATTAGCTCCAGCTCCCTTCAGTGTTCTGCCAGGTAATCCAGTATTCAAATGAAGGAATAAGGAATTGGGATTCTTAGTGCATATGTGACGAGAAAGCTACCTACAAGTCATTTAGCTCCACTCCTCTTGTTTTATTCCTTTGGTGCTAATCAATCTATCTCTATATTTTGCAAAAAATACCTGTCCCATTTATCTTTTAAGTGCTCTTTAAAATATATTTATAAAAAAAAAACATTTACAGAATGTTTTCATGTAATCAGGTACACAGAAAAAAAGCACAGTATTCATAATCCAAGGTGACACACGTATCTTATTAATTTTTAGTATCCTTACACCTAAAGTAGTACCTAACACACAATAAATAACTCTGTAAATACTTTATGGTTAAATCAGGAGACCAATAAGACTAAGTGAGCAGACAGATGCTTTGGGAAACTACCCCACAAAGTGGTATGAGAAAGACCTGAGGCAGGAGAACAGTTATATATGTAATAGGCAAATGCATCAAACAACCTCAAAACTAAGTGGCTTGGAAAAGAGAGACTTATTTGGTTCACAATTCTGTGCACTGGCTTTTTGAGTCTAGACAAGTCTTAACAGGGAAGTTCTTTTGAACTCAGTAGGACTCACTGATGTTTCTACCGTCAGTCAGCAATGAATTGTCTCACTCATTATGTGTCAGCTAACTATAAGGTAGAGTATTGGTGGTAACTAGGCCACAAATCTTTTGTCACCCAACAGGCTAGCCTAGCTATTTAACATGCTAGCAGTCGCAGGTTCCCAAGAATAGCCATAGGAGGGGACTTAGTGACCAAGTGCTTTCCAAGTCTCTGTTGGCGTCATGATTGTCACAGTCCCCTTGGCTGCAGCTCAGAAAGTCACCCCAGAAACAAAGGTGGGGGGAAAAAAAACCTCCATCTGTGAGAAGGTGGAACTACAAAAACACATAAGAACCTAATACAGGGAAAAGAAAAAG